ACTTTATAATGAAGCGTTTTGGGATATCTTCCTGATGTGAAAGGTGCTATTTCAAATGCAATTATTATTTATTATTAAATCCAAGTATTATTTAATTTAGAAAGTCAAGAATTGCATAGAGAACAGAATCTAGGATTTTTTAAGTTCTCTATAGCTTGGAATAATTTAAAATTATCGATGTAATAAAACTACATAAATATAATTTATATACTGACATTTATTCCTTGAAACAAATCTTTCCAAACACCACAGTATAATCTAACTCATATCAAGTGCTCACCTTTCTGTGTGAGCCCCCACCTCTATTGAGTGCCAATAAAGCATTGGACTAATGGGCACAATATGGGGGTGGGGGGGTGTTGGTGCATCACTGACTAACGTGAATCTGATTTTGTTCCATGTTCATATACTTGCACATTGTAGAAGGAAGTCATTGAATAATGATCAGGAATAGGAACTCTAGCTAATTAATCAAATTCATGCACAGGGGAGGGGTTTTCAGGCCAATTGTAATTTGTACAGAACCCTTTATGTGAAATAATGTCTTTACGGAGCTTTACAGAAATAATGCCAGACATTGAGTAGGATGAAGGATGCAGGTGACCATAGGCATGCTCAATGACATAGGTTTTTAGATGGCTTTTGCAGGCAGGTAGAGAGGGGGTGCAATGGAGAGGATCAAGGTGGGAGGTCCAGAGGGTGGGAGAGTAGTGACTGAAATGGTAGGCTGGGAACATGCAGCAGGCTGAAACTGCCAAGTAGAGGGGGTAAGCAAGGGGGTGCGGTTGGAAAAGATAACAGAGGTAGGGAAGTGTGATTCTATGAAGGGATCTGTGGATGAGAGTGAGGATCTTGAAGACGATACAATGGGAGACAATGAAATCAGGTGAGGTGAGGGGTGATGGCATACAACATCTTGTGTGGGTAAGGATGTGGTGGTGGAGGTTTCAATGAGCTGGAGCTTGTGGATGTTGGAGATGGGGAGGCTAGTGAAGAGGGTTTTGAAAAGATATGTCTGGAGATTTTGAAGGTACGAATGAGGATTTCAGAAGCGTTGGCCAGAGATAGGGATGGAGGCAGGCAATGTGGCAAAGATGCAAAAAAGCAGTCTTGGTCAGGAACTGGGGTGAAGGAGGAAAGAAAGTAGAGCGTGAACTGAATGCTAAGGTTGCACACTGGTTTAGTGAGTTGGACAGAGTGACTGAGAAAGTTGAGGAAGTCAGAGCCGGATATGTTAGCTGGAGCTGAGGAGGATGGCTTCCATTGTGTCCATGTAAAACTAAAATAGTTGAGGGTCATTCAAGACTTGATCTAGCAGGCAATTGTACAGAACATCAGTGGACCTGGAATTAAGAATAGAAGAGATGTTATTGGGTGTTATTGGATTACATGTGGAAACTAACCTCATGTCTGCAGATGATGTCACGAATGGACTGCATATAGATGAGGAAGAAAATGGGACCAAGGATAGAGCAATGAAGTTTACTGTGCAACAGTGAAAGAAGCCTTTGGAGGAAACAAAGTGGAAGTGATGACAAGATTTGAATCAGAAAGTGGGTTCCCAGATAGATGGATGAGAAATTGAAACTTTAACCACAGCCCCATTTAAGATAATTCAATACAACCCGAGATCATATCTGAGATCTATACATCTCATTTCCACATGAGACAGTGCATTTACAGACAAATCCACTGATTAGTTCAGTTATTGCACTGTGATATGCTTCATGAAACAACAGGTTGGTCGGTGCTGAACCACTGAATTACCCTGAAAATCTGTGGAGAAACTGTTGTGACATAATCTGTAGTTAACTCAATAACATTTACTCCTATGTAATTTTGAACACGTGTTTGTTCCTTTGGATTTATTTTAAAACAGTACCTTATAGATTGTGGAATGAATTGTGCATTGGATAATTGAAGGGAAATAAAGTGTCTGACTCAGGTCGGCACGATCCCAATAGCACGGGCAAAATCGCAGGTGCTTGGGTTCAGGGTCAGCATTTAGCCGGTGCCATGAGCTGCAGTTTACACAAGTTAAACAAGGAAGACCATTGCTATGAAAACATTTAGAGGTATCCTGAATTACAGTGTAGTTCCCTGGAGTGTAGAGCATTCACAGCATCAGTATATTTAGATTTTTGATCTTTAAATTGTGGTTTAATAAAATCATAAGACCATTACAGTACAGAAGAGAGCCATTCAGCCCATGGTGTTTTTGCTGGTGCAAGTCCCCCACACAGCTTTTCATGGCAGATTTTGACACCTCTGCACTGATCAACACATTCCAATTTATAGCAACTTTCATTCATCCATTGCTCCTCATGAAGGGCAGCATTTCGGAGCTCTTCGTGACCTTATGGTATGTAACACATCCACTAGATTGTGGGTGTGCCAGAGATGGATTCCGCAGACACTGTTTGCATTGCAGAAACTGGCTGCTTTGGTTGGGCTTTCGGTTTGTGGGAAACCACTTTAACTGACAACAAATCAGAGTAAAACCGGTCTCCCACTTACCCTGTCAGCCTCAACACATCTGAGACCAGTTAACAAGTTAAACATCAGCATTAGGTTAGCAACAGATCAGCAATTCTCTCAATAGAAACTTGTCAATTAGCAAATAAGCGGATGTGTTAATTAAACTTCCCAACATGCGTCCAGTGTACCCCAATATGTCCTTGAGTAAACATCGTATTCCTAAATGACAACACTACAGTTATTTGAATTTAAACAAACTGCGGTATGAAATGTTTACTGGGTTCAGCTTCGTCAGCATTTTGTGTCGCACAGTGCAACTGTGTGTAAAACACGAGTCTGCCCTTCCCCAGTCCGTCCATTTAAATACATCTGCTGCAGGATAGCTGTCCAATGTGGCGTTTCGATCCCAAAGATTTCTTTTAAGTGAATATTGTGAAGCAGCCGGTTCTGAACACAGAGTTTATAAAGTGCCATTTGCAATGCAGGAGACTTGACTTTGCTCAATGCGGGGCTGCAGGGCAGAGCAAGGGCAGGGCAGGGGCAGAGCAAGGGCAGGGCAGGGGCAGAGCAAGGGCAGGGGCAGAGCAAGGGCAGGGCAGAGCAAGGGAGGGGCAGGGACAGGGCAAGGGAAGAGCAAGGGCAGGGGCAGAGCAAGGGCAGGGGCAGAGCAAGGGCAGGGGCAGAGCAAGGGCAGGGCAGAGCAAGGGCAGAGCAAGGGCAGGGGCAGAGCAAGGGCAGGGGCAGAGCAAGGGAGGGGCAGAGCAAGGGCAGGGGCAGAGCAAGGGCAGGGGCAGAGCAAGGGCAGGGGCAGAGCAAGGGCAGGGGCAGGGCAGAGCAAGGGAAGGGCAGGGGCAGGGCAGAGCAGGGGTAGGGCAGGGGCAGAGCAAGGGAAGGGCAGGGGCAGAGCAAGGGCAGGGCAGGGGCAGAGCAAGGGAAGGGCAGGGGCAGAGCAGGGGCAGAGCAAGGGCAGGGCAGGGGCAGAGCAAGGGAAGGGCAGGGTAGGAGCAGGGCAGGGCAAGGGTAAGGCAGGGCAGGGGTAAGGCAGGGTGTGGGTGGGTGTTGTAGTGGCGTTGTAAGTGTTGTGTTAAAGGAGATCTCAGGTGAGGACTGCAGTTCCCGGGCTGCACTGGTGGCCTCTCCTGCCCCCCCCCCCCCCCCCCCAGGTGTGGGAGCTCCAGGTGAGGAGAGGCTTAATCACTCGCTGTGAGCGGTGTAAGTCACATGGAGCAGCTCATTGCACCGTCTCAGTGGGAGGAGAACCAACCAACAAACTGACTACAGTTACTGGTTGTTTTGTCCATATGGTATATCTCTCCTCGGGATCCGCTCCGAATGGTTCGGGTTTTCTCCTTTATTGTACCTGTGGTTCGCGGAAAACTGCGGTCATTCCAAACACAAGAGGTTAACGTTAAAGTCCTGGTTTAAGTTTACTGTGGGGGGGGGGGGGGGGTGTGTGTGGGGGGGGGAGGTGTGTGGGGGGTTGGGGTGTGTGTGTGTGTAGGTTTGTGTGTGTGGGTGTGTGTGTGGGGGGGTGGGGAGGTGTATGTGTGGGGGGGGGTGGGGAGCTGTGTGTGTGTGGGGGGTGTGGGTGTGTGTGTGGGGGGGGGGGGTGTGTGTGGGGGGGTGTGTGTGGGGAGGTGTGTGTGTGTGTGGGGAGGTGTGTGTGTGTGTGGGGAGGTGTGTGTGTGGGGGGGGGGGGGAGGTGTGTGGGGGGGTTGGGGTGTGTGTGTGTGTAGGTTTGTGTGTGTGGGTGTGTGTGTGGGGGGGTGGGGAGGTGTATGTGTGGGGGGGGGTGGGGAGCTGTGTGTGTGTGGGGGGGTGTGGGTGTGTGTGTGGGGGGGGGGGGTGTGTGTGGGGGGGGTGTATGTGGGGAGGTGTGTGTGTGTGTGGGGAGGTGTGTGTGTGGGGAGGTGTGTGTGTGTGTGGGAGGTGTGTGTGTGTGTGTGTGGGGGGGTGGGGGAGGTGTGTGTGTGTGGGGGGGGGGGGGGGGGGGGGGGGGAGGTGTGGTGGCGGATGGGGATAGATTCCGTTGCGCTCTGTGGGAGCATCGATCTGAAGAGATGGATGGCTTGACTTTGCGGTGAGAGGAGGTTTGTCCCGCTGTGTTTGATGAGGATGGACCTGGTGTGCGGGGCTGTTCCTCCCTGTCCCGAGGTGTTGCTATCACTAGTTGGGGTGTTTTGCTGGTGTTTTTATTGCTGGTGTAACTGGGGGTTTGGAGTCCGGCTTCAGGTCGGCATTGCTGGAGCAGGTTTCTGCTATTTGTTGTAGTTGTTGCTGCAGACGTTTTTATGTGGGCGAGACGACCGCAGGGTGAATGCCCCCATGTTGTTGGGGGCAGATGCCAAACCTGCCAAGGAAAAGCGACGGGACATTTTTTTTCTGCAGAAGTGGAAGCGAAGATCAAATAGTTTGGCAGTGAACGCCAGAGTGCAGTGCAGTGCAGCCCTGTGCGTGTGTGTGTGTGTGTCTGTCTGTGTGTGTGCGAAACTGACAAGTGTCCTTCAAATAAGGTTTGTGCAGGTTCAAGCATTGTTCCTTTTCTTTTTACAATAAGCACTTCTAGTCTGTTCCAGTTAATGTATTATTGTGCAATTTTTTTTTTTTTTGGCACTGAAAGAGCTGGGGAATAAGAGCACTGCTGAGCTGAGCTGAGGGTGAGCTGTGTCCCCTGGTACTGCAGTGTGGAGTTGGTGATGTGGTCAGGTTTCCACAAGATGCTTACATGTTAAAAAGGTTGGTCTTTCTAACAGCTGCCAGGACCACTTGCAGGACCAGCGCCAGCACTTAAAGGTCAGCTAAACTTTGTTCCAGCGATTCATCCACGACGTTTGCCATTCAACNTTTTTTTTTAGACCAGGGTTGAGCCAATTCGGATCTCCTTCTTCTGATTAATTAATTTGCAACTCTTTATTGCCATTGGATTCCGGTGGCGGTTTGATCAGACAAAGGCTAAACATTAAACCCCCGGAATTAACGAGGACTATAGATAGAAACGAGTGCATCAGAATTTGGCTACTTTGCAATGGATCTGGAGTCTTAACTCTGGTATTGCTTTGTGGGTTCAGGGAAATTAAAGTACCTTTGGCCACTTTTTTTTTAAAAAAAGTAGCAATTAGTGATAATGAAACTAATCAAATTGACTTAACTGGAATGGTGGATTAATGTGCCAAAGCGTGCTGTTAATAGACCCGTGTTAATTGGTGCTATAAAACTAATTTTGTGTTAAATTTAGGGAAACTTTGTTTTGTGCTGTAATGCTGGAGACTGTCATGAGTACGTTTGTTGTATTATAAATATTGCTAATTGCATTGTTAAAGTACTCGTAGTTTTTACGTGAATCCTTTGGTGCAGTTACTGTATTTGTGGTAATTGTTCTTGCACATCTGTCCTTCTATGAATGCAGACATTGCTGTCCTAAGAGTGTACCAGTAATATTTTGTTAGAATTAATATGATGTTGGAGAGTATATAATTTTTTTGTGGGGGATACTACAAGTTTCTTTTTTTTAGGGTATTCAGTGTGTTAGGGAAATTAAACCTTTCAACTGTTTCTTTCATACATCTAGTGTCAGCGTGGAGTGGTTTGATTATAGAAGTAAAAGGTTCTCTTGCGTTGTTTCAGGCAATACAACTTAACTACCCTCCATTGCAACAGCTAACCATTTCCTCAATGACCATTCTTGTAACTTCAGTTAACGTAACTGTATTCTATTTGCTTTGAGAAGCATGAGGAATTGTTCCCTGCAGTAACTTACTGCACTGCTGTTTTGCTTTTAATATGATCTAATTATGTTGCTACTCTTAAGTACTTGACAAAGGATTATATTGTGAGTCTTAACCCAATTTGTTTCTGTTGGAGCAACATGTAAAAACTGAATCAGTTTGGCATGAGCTGGCAGAAAATATTACACATGGCATTTATTAAGGAGTACAGTATTGCTTAAAGCTGCGGGAAATCAAATTCTAACTTTATCCCACAGCCATTTATTTTGCATAATACTAAAATGGTTGTCAATTTGTGGGGCAACTTTTTCGTGGATTGTTACCGAAATCTAAACGTTATTGCAAAATCATATGCAAACGTTTTTACAGCTTACAGAGAATTTCCTACACAGAAAACAAAGCTGCAAACAATGTGTCCACTTAATTCTGGATAATTGTATTACATGCCTGTCTCATTTGGTCACAGGTGGTGAGAAATGTCCTTCACTTCGTGATTGTCCAATACTACAGAACAGCTTCAATGCTGCTAGGCCATAATCTAGTTCACAATCTCTTTCTGCACATGATTGATGTAATGCTTACCTCCCATTGCAACTGAAACAAAGTAAATTAAAATTACTGCAGCATTGAATTTATCTAAAACCCCAGGATTAATCCTCTCTCTGTTTCTTTCTCTTCCTGCCCCATCCCAAATCACAGTGGGTTACCTTAAATTTGAACAGAAGTTTGGAATCTTGTTTTTTGTTGCAACTTTTTCTTCCCCTCCACAAAAAACCCTGCTTGTTTTTAATTTGCTTTCCTTTTTGTCTAATTACCTCTTGCATTACTGATGGTTAAATATATATTCTATGTGCTGCTTTAATTGCTGCCAATATAGAGTAACATTATAAAATGCCATGGAAATGAACATTTTTATGATTTCATAGGAAATTGAATATCCCTAACAGTAGTATTCTACATCAGGGTTAATATTTTTGTTGATTCTTTTAAATTATTTCTATATGAAGCTTCAAATCTTTAGTCTGTTGTACCAGTTAAGACTTTGCGTCATATTTTCATAAACTTGGGTGCTTGATCACTATACTCAGTACAATAAATTTTCCTTTCCTGCAGATAGTAAATGATTGTTCCTCCAGATTGTGTCAGAATGATTATTAGGTGAGTGAGATGATTCCTTATCCTATCTGATGCACAATACCAGGAAAATGGGTCAGGGTGCAGGGAGGTTGAAATGCTCAGCAGAAATCTGCTTGGCTAAGCTATAATATCAAAGTGCATCACTGGTGAAGTACTTATTTTATTTTAGAAATAGAAGTACTGTTTGATTTAAACTGATGTACAGGTGACTTATTGCTAACTGTGCCAGATGATATTTTATTCCACATTAAGACTACAGGAGGTCAAAGGAGTAAACAAAAGGCAATGTTGACTTTAATTTTGGAAAACTAATGCAATAAGTGAATATTTTAGTAGAAGGGAGCTTCTCTTGTGTCTTATCCAGCAATCCCCCAGATAAAATTGCTCATTCACTTCAGGGCTGTCTGTGCACACATTGGCTGTTGTGTTTACCTACAAAATATACTTAAAGTGATAAACTTACAAAATATAAAGTGACTACACTTTACTGTAAACCTGTAAAGTGCTTTGAGATGATATTATAAGGCACTAAATCAAACAAGGAGTATTATTGATACAAACTAAGTGCATGTTTATTTTGTCAATAATCTTGGTTACAATCTGGAAAAAGGGCTAGGTTTGATTGTCTTTATTTACAGGCAGAAGATTGTTTGATATTTTCACATTACATGTTTTGTTTTATTATTTGCCTTGTACACAAATTAATGTAAGAGTAGAACATCTTAAGTGTGAATTTATTGCTTTGTAATTTAAAACTGTCAAATACCTTTAGGTTTAAAATAAGGCATGAGCATCATTTGCGGTTTCTCCCCCAGAATTCTAAATGCTTAGAGTAATTGGCAATATCTGTGAGCATCGTGGTTAGTGATTCAATGTTGTTAGTGCAACATAGTGACCTTTGGCTGCATGTTTCTTTAATTTTGGAATTTAAATACCTTACTTTTTAAAAAATTTTGTTGCATTTTAAAATAACTGAAATTGATGCTGTGAATTTCAGCATGGGTAAAGAAATGACTTGAAGAACAACTTGCATTTATATAGTGCCGTTGAAGCCGGACGGCATCTCGGAGCGCTTAACAATAAATCAATCTTTGAAATTTAGCTTGTCTGACTTTTCAATTGACTGACATTAGCAAAATGAATTTGTACCATTATTCAGATTTATTCTTATTTATGTATGATGAGATTATTTTCTCAATATATCTACTTGTGTCCATCAACAACTCTACTGGAAAAAGGAAAATGGTGGTAATTTTTTCAGGTATTTTAGATTATAAATATGGTCTTTGGTTTTAAATTTAAATGGTTAGTTCAAAAACTAATATAAAATAGGATGAATTATGTCCAAGTACTTCTACAGAAAAATATAACTATAGAAATTTTACAGCACAGAAGGACATTTGGCTCATTGTGTCTGTGCCGGCTCTTTTAAGAACTATTCCTTTCAGTCCCATTTACCTGTCCTTTCCCCATACCATCATCCTGACTTGAAGGGCACTGTATCAAATCAAGGAACACTACTATTATGATAGAGGGATGAGGGTTAATAAGATATAGAGTCTATTCTCTGTACACATCTTGTGCGAATCTCACTTCAATTGCAAAATGTCAATTAGGATAAGTGAATGGGTTTATTTATCCTTTATTTTTAAGGCCTGAAGTAACTAACTTTGTTTTGGGGACAAAATAGGGGGAAGGAAAATTGTAATTAAAATCTTTTTGAAAGTTGCTAATGATTAAATGCGAACAGGAAAGAATGTCTGATTTCTTGCCAAATGATCTAATAGGCATGCAAATTGCTTACAATTTAGCCTTTGTATGTTGGAATTGTATACATAATTTATTCAGAACAAATTCAGTCACTTTTAGAGTGCAGATCTGATCTATCCCATTGCTGTTTTTCAAGTGAGGGAGCTGGTCATTTTTGGCAGACTGCAGGTGTAATAATAATACCACTAGGGAGTCCTGTAGCTCAATGGCTAGAGCACTCGTCTTGCAAGTGAGACCTGGGTTCGATTCCCAGCAAGGCGAAATGTTAGGCAAGCTTCCTTACTCCACATGCTTCTGTTTCACCTAACAAGAACTTGCACTTATATAGACCCTCCAATCAGGTTAGTGTCTCGGAGCACTTAACAGTGGTGGAGCCTGACTCCAAGCTGGGGGGAGGGGGGAAGTGGCTGTAAGCACGGTGGAACAGGAAAGTCTTCAGATGGGACTTGAGAGAGGGGGCAAGGCAGAGGGATTGAGGGAGAGTGTTCCAGAGTTTTGGGGCTTAGTGGCTGAAAGCATGACTTCTGATGGTGGCGTGGATGGTGTGAGGAACGAACAGGAGGCTGGTGCCAGCCTGGCCAGAACTGGTGAGATGTGGGTATGGCGTTTGGTCAGGTCAGTAAGTGGGCAGCAGAGTTTTGAAACAAGTTGGATCTTGTGAATGGTGGAGCTGGGGAGGCCGGCGAGAAGTGCTTTGGAGTAATCCAGGCAGGAGGTGACAAACGCATGTACGAGGGTTTCGGCTGCATTTGGGGTAAGGTACGGTCGGAGGCATGCAATATGGCCCAGGTCATGGTCTGGGACCAGATGTGGAGGAGGAAGGACAGTTGGGGTTTGAACCAAATGGTTAGGTTGCGCACTGGTTCGGTGAGTCTGAGGGAGAGCCCAGGGAGGTTGAGGAGTTTAGATCCGCAGGAGTGAAGACGTTGACGGGAGCCAAGGAGTATGGCTTCCATCTTGTCCATATTCAGCTGCAGGATGTTTACACTTATCCAAGCCTTGACGTCTGCCAGACAAGCTGATAGAACATTGGCAGACCTGGTTCTGGAGGAGGCAAAGTAGATTTGTGTGTCATCCAAATACATGTGGAAGTTTACCCAGTGTCTGTGGATGACATCGCCCAGAGGGAGCATATATATAAGGTAAAGAAGAGGGCCAAGG